ATGGGAACAGCCCGATGACGATGGCTCTGATGGCGTAGAATGGCGACCAGTTGGTGTGTGCGTGCCTGGCATTGCGAGAAGATTGCAGCCACCATGCTGCGCGCGATTCGATCCTCTTAGCTGGATTCTGCCAGCGAATAGGCCAGGAACTCCCAGCCCCAAAGCTGACCTTGACCCAGCTAAACGTTCAAGTTGCTGGCAACGGTAAAGCCAGGCTCATTGCCTAGACAAACCAGTTTTGCAGTGAGAGAAATATATGTGAATGAAATGAAATTATAAAGAACAGCTAAGCTTAACTTAAGTTTCAGCTAGCACAGAATTCTAAACTTGCATATATAGTATAATATTTTAAATACATTTATTCATAAATAAATAAAAATATAATTTATATTACTTTGTGTGTTTTTCATATTTTCTGTGAAATATTGTTGTTTTCTTAATATTCTCCCTCTGCACAGATTGAGACCACAACCAATTTGGTTAGAGCGACCTTCGCGTCCCTCTGCCGTCTCAGAAGTTGGCTAGAACTTGGCGGTGGCCTGATTACCATGAAGCCGCGTCTGCCTCGCCTAACGAGCTTGTTGCAAGTTGATTACGTTGATTAGCGACCACCTGCGAATGCCATTTGCCTGCTGCACTCGCAACTCGCAACTCGGGACTCCCGGACTCGCTGTGTGCGGGGCTTAGACTGAAAAATAGTTATCGTTTATCGAGGCAACGGCGTGATTAAGCTGGGAGAGAGTCTTTGGGTAATGAATTCGGGGGTTATGAGCATTTGTCAAAGTAACTTGGAGGATTTTATGGAAGATTCAGGTTTGCGGGGATGAGTTATGTGTGGAAAGATCAGGCAGGGATCTCTCTGGATATCTATCTTTCTGGGTTTATATACCCAAAAGTACTCCAGTTTTGAACTCAGTTACTTTACTTGAAATCCGAATACCTGCAGTGACATTCCAAAGAAGCTCGCGAATGCCCCCTCATCGGTTAGTCACGTACGAAGACTCGCCACCCTGCTCATCCAATATCCAATCCCGTTCCCATTCCTTTCTAGGAATGGGCCCAGCCGAAAAAGTGAAACTACAGTTATCTATATTTAAGCCCAACTGCATTTACATGATATCATAATGAAAATAATGGCGTGTGGCGACTCCAATGAACTCTCCCAGTCAGCGTAACTGTAATCGCCCCGACCCCAAATAAAGGCGCCCGCTTTGATAGTTGTCTTTCGAACCCGAGCCGAATCGGGCGATCACGTTGCCGCCAGCCAGATCATAATGTAATAATTTTTTGGCCAGCCAGCGAACAAGCCTTTGTAGAACAACACGTACGAACAATTAAAATAACCAACCGAGAGCCGCCGCCTCAGTTCGCTTGTTTATCCGACTTTTGAGGGCCAAAGAAGGCATCCGAAAAATTACACCTAGACTGAAAAGAGAAACAAATAAATGTCCAGCGGCCAATGAGCCGTAACGTGCGATTTCCATATACGGATTTTGGATTCCGAGTGCACCCCCCCCACCGATGGAGTCGACTCCAAATGCAGTTGGTTATGAAACTCGGCTGGGGGGATTGACGGTTAATTGTGAATTTCCGGTTCATTGCAGGCCCCCATTAGCCAGAAGCTGAGCCGGGCTACGGCTCCATCGACGATCCATTGTGGGACACAGTCAGTACCGTCACTCGTCAGTCACTTTGTCACTTAGTCAGTGAGTCAATGAAAGCGAAACCCCGCCATATAAATGGCCCTGCAATGTGGGTCAGCCATTTGCATTTGATGAGATTCCTCGATGCCACCAAGAACACTATAATAACATCGGGCAAATGGAAACTTTTCCCCCATCTAGAGTTATATAAGTTTTGCATTCGAGCCAAAAAGTAATCGGGAATGCACACACAACGCACAATGGAGATATCGTATCAATATTTACACAGAAATTAAGAATTGTCAAAGCCGCAAAGTCCCCGAGAAAAGTTAGTCAGGTGCTCTAATCAATTAAGTCAACGCCGAAACACCACCCAACCAACACCTTGGAACTCCAGTCAGCTGCGGCCACACTCTCCGCTCTGTTCCGTTCAAGGGAACGACGCCTTCACCTTGAAGTACCAGGTTTCCCCCGGATTGGACAAACAAACAATCCTCTGGTTCTGGAAATTGCATAACTCCAGTTCGGCTAGTTGCCAGCTGATTGCCCATGGGAGAGGTGAGAAGTGATATTTTTGTCAGGCGAGAGGGCTAATGTTATTAATAAATATCACGACTATCTAATCGAGAACAGAGCCAATTTTGGTCAAGTGTTTCGATCGTTCATGCGGCAGGGGAATCGATGAACTAACTCCGTGACGCATGACCCTCCTTCTAGTTGCGCAAGGGCTTCGCCGGAAAGCGACTGAATGTGTAATATAATTAGTTGGTAAATAGATCGTTCTCCAAACAATAATCTGAGACAAACAGAGAGCCCACCGGTAGGGCGCCGCGAAACTCAAGCCCGCCAGCTCCTCTATTAGCTCAGCTTTCGCAATAGGATCTATCTACTGGCTGGCATTGCACCCGGTCTTCCAATAAATATTATTCCCAACTCTATATATTTTATTTGCAATCTAACAATCGCCCACAGCACCCAGCTTTTTCTTCACTCTGACGTCAGTTTGGGTTGGATTTGCAATTAAAATTTGGCAATTGCCAAAACAGAAACCCATTCAACGGTTCTCACAATTTTTATCAGCCTGCCGTGGGGCGTTGGACACTTCCGATCAATTGACGTATACGAGAGCTGGAGAGGATCGCTGGCAGGTGCGTCGGCCGAGATAAACAATAGCCCGAGAACCGAACCCGTCAAAAGTAGCTGCTGCCTTTTTATCGGTCCATAAACAAGCGGATACTTTATTTTTGATCCACGGGATACCCAGTAAGTGAAAGGGGATATAAACAGGGCAAGTCAACTATGTACATCAGCTGGCTCTATTTTCATTTTTCTAAATTTTACTTTATTAAGAATAAATAACAATTCAGCTTAATTCCAAATAAATATTTATAGCTGCTGCGGATTACTCAGCTTTTAAATGTGGTTAACATTAGTTTTCAGCTAGAAATTAGAAAGATATTTTCTATATCTAACACCTATTATAAGGTGTCTTAAAGGCTCTATATATAATATTCCTGAAATCCAGAGAGAAAAGAGAATTACCCTGAATTTCTATACAAGTTTATTTAAAATTTGAAGATTTTCTCCCTCCAGGTCATCGCCCAGTCGTATTATTAGCACTTTTTTGGTCAAAAGGTAAGCAAATAGCAGAACCTGGCTGCTGGCATTCAGTTTTGAACGATTAAAGAAAAACTTTTGGGTGTGCGAGTGCGAATATTTAAATGGTGAGATAATGATGTTGTTCCGCCACCCCAAATCCCTTCCTCTTCTAATAACACATGGATTTATATTTATGTAGTACATATACATATGTAAAATGGAAATCCGTTTAATTAGCATTCACGTAAAATGGGCAAAGGGCTTCGAGTCCGGCCAAAAGCTCTGCCGAAAAGAGGGTTTCGAGCGGGGTGATATCACCTGGAAGAGTCCGCCCAATCGAGAACAAACACCGCTAGCGATAAGATAAAATCAAACTCAAATATTTAACATTGGTATTAACACAAGTTTTGCCACTCAGCTGCCTGAAAGGCACACACACATAGGAACACACGTAGCTGTGATCGTGGGCTCCCCCCCTCCCGGAAGTTCACTCGATTCATTCACGAATGAACACTATGTTAACTTTGACCCACAAACCCAATAAAACGTAAACAAAATCCACCCACGCATTAACTCGAAGTTGTGGGAGTTTCACCTGGAGTTTCCTCCAACTGGGCTTAATTAGCTGTTGCCAAAAAAAGAGACAAAACGCAGAAACGTGAAGAGAGTGTTGGGTGTTTATCGGGTGGCGGAAAAGAATATTCAGAATGATAAGATATAAGTGAACTTGCGATAAAAAAAAACGCCAGAGTTTTATTTTAAAACATACATATGTCGCATTTCTTACAGCAGGAAATGGAAAATGCAAACGTTGTAAAGGAGAACTTAAGTTCATTTCGCACAAACCAAATCGAAAAGTCAGCTCATCAATTGATAACGCCGGAGTGCCGTGATAAGCTTTTGCCAGAGAGCTCATAAGCGGGCTCTCTTGGAGAGTAATATTTGCAATTAGCAAGCTTTTTTGCCGATGAATTTCGTAATCCAAACAAAGTTGTGTGCGTTCTAAGGCGCGTGTGCCGCTGGCTATCCACGTGTTTCCTAGTATTACGCTTATATGGCAACGGGTTTTTGGCACTCTCTTTCAAAAAATATCTTTCTCTTGTACAGCACTCTCCAGTACACTGGAAAATAGTGGAGGCTCTTGTTGAAAATTATGTCTAAAGATAGATCTTATGAAGGTATTAAAGATATTTTCTTACGTTTTTAAAGGAAATGTACAGGCTTTCAATAAAATATACAAAAATTGTATTTGTAAGTTCAAAAAAGATATAATTCCATTAATTACTAAGAGCTTTAAATATTTTTAGTATATCATATTGAATACTCTGTGTCATTTATCAAAACTACAAAATATATCTCATAAATAAAAGATATTTATTTCACTTGACAAAGCAATTTCATAAATTCTGAGCTGTTATTCTGCATTGTTCTTTCAAAAATATACAAATATCTACTCAATGTATCTCTAAATCCATGAAAGATATAAATTCACTAATTATTAAGAGCTCAAAATATACTTGGGATCTTATAAATGCAAAATGTATCTCATAAATTAAAGATATTTATTATATATGTTCAGCTTTTATTCTGTATTATATTTTTAAAAATATATATCTATCCAATGTATCTTTTCCTTCAATATACCGACTATTCCTCTCAGTGTAGCTTTCGCCATGGGCTTTTGCTCTCGCGCTCCGGTGAAGTTTGCGGCTCTTGGAAACCGGGGGCTCCGATAGCGTGTCATTCGGTGCTCAGCTCTCTCCGCGAACGGTCGATCCGATCTCCGATCTCCGGTTTACGACCCCCGATTTTCGCCAGGTAACCGAGCTTTTGTTTCGTTCGGGCAACTCCAGTGCCGAGACGTGTTGTCGGGTGCGTGCGCGAATCCAATCCGATCCGAATAGGCAGCGTTCCCAGTTCCCCTCGCCGTCTAGGTAATTAAAAATTATATAGTTTCCGTTGGCACACACACTTGTCGTCTGGCCCACACGGCGAACGCAAAATAAAAACCAACGTAACGTAAATGAAAATCATAAAATATAAAATGCGAAAACCAAAATCAAACCGCCAGAGAGCTATCAAGACACTTGCATTCGGCGATTTACGAGGCTAAATTGTTTGTGACGCGCCGTTGTTGTTTTTTGCCTCATTGTCATCCCCCTCTCGGCGTTGCTTTTTGGGTGCTCTCTCTCCCATTTCAGATACGAATTTTGTATCTTTTCGCTGCTTCCTCTGCTGCTGGGCTCTTTTTTTTTGTTGGGTTTTTGCCCGCCATGCGACACATTCGGGGATAGCGGCGGTCTGGGGAATCTCGGCGAGAAGCGATCTCCGCCAGTCCAACCGCAAGAGCCCGTTGGGTAGCATCGTGTGTTGAAGGACTCTTCAGTGGCGGGCATCTTCAGTGCTTTCAGAACAAACGACAGTGAAAAATACGTACTCACGCGCGATAGCGCTAAGCAAACACACATATCTGATCAAACAAAAGTGCTCTCAAAACTGAAAATAAAGACCGCAGAAAAACAGTGCGAAGAATTCAAGCAATCCGGCGTGTGGTGTGAGTTTGGCTTCAGACTCGGTCGGGCCTTGATAAGCTCCCGAATTAATACAAAGCCCAGCAGTCTGCTGGACGTGATAAGTAAACCGAAACCGAAAGTCTGAAAATAAACAGCAGCCGCGAGTGTCAATCCAGATAGTAATTCGCAAGGGACTAATCGCGGAATCTGGACATTCCGCTTGATGTAAAAGGCCAGGGTTCGGGGTCGGGATTTTTGGAACTGAAACTGAAACAAGTTGCTTGCTCACTAGCCTCACTTTTATTACTTATCTGTGGCTTGCATTTGCGGTCGCCTTGCGGCCTGTGGCAAACTTGACCCTATTTCCCAACTCGGCCGAGTTATATAATTGCCAAAAAGTAAGAAAGATACGAGAGCCGGGGATGAGCCAAGCATATAATAAAAAACGGTTACTCTCTTAACCCCCGGGCGCGGGTACTTAAAGCTACTCGAAGCCCCGATTGCGAACTCATCTGACTACAATATATATATTTCGAGAGAGGCACGCATTCGCGTGAAATCTCCGCTACCTACGCTAGCTGCAACTCAACCCCGATCCGATCTGTCCATATTATGATGTGTATATAGTATTGTTAGCATTTGAGAGCAAACCCACCCGGCTGGCGAGCTTTCGGGGCCCTGCAACTCGGGAATCGTTTACGTAAATCATTAGAAAACCGCACACGGCGGAGGCAGTAGCCCACCAACCAGGTTGATTCATCCAGACACGGATAGGACAGCGATCCGATCGATATATATTCTTTCCGAGTTTTCACCTTTCCTATTGTGGTTTCCCGCAGCTCGGCACCCACTTGAAACGCTGGGTGAATCACTGGGCCACGAAATGTGTGTATAAAAAGAAATATTAATAATACGCGTACAAACTTTTCAGCTTGTCAGCTCTAAAAGCAAGCACTCATGCAACGTCACCGCCTAATGAGATTATCAATCAGCCGGGGAGAGAGATAGGGTGAGAGCATCGATCCCGGGTTGGGAAATCCAAGATCTGCGAAGGTGGAACGGAACTCCCAGTCGCGCCGAGTGGAGCCATAAAGCCCGGCTCTTGCGCAATCCTCCTCCGACTAAAGCCAAGGTGCTAATTTCCAGCGCATAATTCACAGAGGTGTGCGAGTGCGAACTGAAAACTGTTTTTCAGGCAATTTCCAGAAATCGGCTTTATGGCCAATAACTCGGCGGCGTTGGCCAAGCCAGCCAGGCGAGCGAAAAAAAGCTGAAGCTCCCGGGGCCCATCACCTTGGTGGGTGCTAATGTCTGTCTATCTATCTGTGAGTGTGTCTCAGACACACTTATCTCTTTCCCCGGGGTTCGTTAGGTTATCGGAAATGTGCGGAATACCTTTGCCAAATCATATTCCCCATTTTATCTTTGAAAGTTAAGAGAAAGCTAAGTTTGTTCTTTCTGAATTCTGCTCAGTTTGGTGTTTGAATTGTTCAGTTACATTGGTTTCCTGTTTTTTATCTTTATTCCTAACTTAATTTATATTTATATTTATAAGCGAGCTTCAGATAAGCACAGAAAATATTGGAATTTCCTGGTATTTTTTTTTAACAAAATTCATTAACAAATGAACTTGACTGAAACATCCCCATTGCTACCCTTTCTGCCCTGGTCATTTTTCCATGTTTCAAGTTCAATTCCACAAAGATTTTTTTGGCTCGTTTTCGGCTCTGCCTGGGTGAGTGATCGCAAAATTGGCGCCCCGCGTCTGGGGTCTCGGCTTTCCTCGTTTTATGTTTCGTCTCGATCCAAGGCAATCCGAGATCGAATGCAGTCAGTCACGTCACCTTCTCACACCCTCGTAGAGCCTAGCAGTTGGGTGCACTTCGTGGTCCCATTTTTGGTGGATGTGTCAACCTTGTCCCCATTAGATATTGAGGCAATGTTTTCCAAAGGGGATGAGCAGCAAATGTGTTTCGATAAGGCGAAACAAGCTGTTATCGAGGCGCAATCAAAACAATATCATTGGGCAACTCCACTGAGAGTGCGGGGAAATGGAAATGCCCCGACATTGGAGTGCTGCATTCTATAGTATTCTTAATGAATAATGAAGAGTGGAGGACGGGGCCCAAGTTTTTGTCAAACGCAAATGAATGCCCAAAATCCCAGGGCTCAAGTGCACATGACTCTGGGCTCTGCGCTTTTTTGGGGTTCGGCCCTATCTATAATTAGCAAATGTCCCGCGATAAGATAACACTCCGTCGCAGAGATAGTGTGGAAAGCTCTTCGAAATGAAAGGAATTCCGCGATGGGGCATATGGAGAGTTCCGCTGCCGAGAACGATGGAAACTATGACGCAGACTGGCCCAGCGATTGTTTATCGGTTTTTCCGCAATTTCCCTAACATAAACAGCACTGGGAAATAGTTTCGTTCTGCCGCCCATTCAAGTTCAACAGCCCAGAAGAGTTCGCCAAGATCTCTCGACATCTGTTTCTCAGATCTGTGGGGCAGGTGGCATTCCAAAGTTCACAGAAGCCAACGAGTTCATCAATGGCAGCTAATTTGCATGTGATGTGATCGGGCATCAAGCGATGACGACCTCAAAGATTAGATACATTGTCACATCACTCCAGACCAGTCCGAGACCACTCCAATCCCATCCAATCCATTCACAAAACCCGCACAGTGGGCGTTCGCGGATTACGTGACAGTATTTTCGGGCACGTCCCTTGAATAGTAATCAAGCAGCAGGTTATTGGCTCTTTTGGATCTAACAATGGACAAGCAACGCCCTGAGAATCGACGGGCTAGTGATTCAGTCAGGCATTTATTGTCCAAGTTAGTCTATTTTCAGCCCAGGGAAGCCGTAAATTCTTCACCTTGATGCTTATGATGATCGGGCTGATCGTCGCTATGAACTCTGCTGACCCTGGGCCAATTTGATGTAAATCTCCTTTTCGTTTTCGTAATTTTGGGCAAAACTTTCACACTTGGCTGACCATTAGGCCGGGCTGGACTAGGGGATTAGGCAGCTGCAGCAGCTGAGTGACAGCCTGCCGACGAAGCAAAGTTCGTTAAAAATGTATTTAGACGGCCGGGCAATTAAAGCTTTAATTGCAAACAATTAAAATCAAAGCCAAGAAATAATTGCACAGATAAATCGAAAACGCTCAATGCAAGTCACTCGGGTGCGCTCTCTCGCCGCGAAGTCGGTATTAAGTTTTAAGGTTCCATTTCGCATCGAATCGCAGATACTAAAGCCCCCTTTTATCCATTTCTTGCAGCTCTGAAACTGGCCATTAACCGAGGACGGATCGTATGCATGTCTTATAGAAGGTACGAATTGAGTTGTACACACGCCTCGGATTGGCATTCCCGAAACATGGTCAAGACCAAGCCAGCGAGGCTGGGGTATTTTTCGGCACTCTAAGCGGGCATCGGGAGAGTCATGCTGCGGCGTCAAGCAAACCAGTTCAGATTGTGTGTGTGTCTGCTTGGTGTGTCTGTGGGTGCCGGCCGGCTTCGGTTTGCTTTCTGCCTGCTTTGCTTGCCAACTGGCCTAGCCGTTTTTGGCTCTAAAAATAAAGCAAGTGGTCATAACTGTCAAATGCCGCTCTCCGCTTTATCGGACTGCCGTCGATCCCCCATCTCTCCATCTCTCCATCTTCTGGCCAGTGGCAATGGCCAAGATGCTGGGACCACTTAAATGGCCGGCAAACGTGCGTGCTCTTAACGTGTCAACTGCCAAACGAAGCCATGAAAAACGGCCGTAAGATCATGCGATCTTTGAATGCATCCACAGCTAACCGCAGGCTAATTTGTCCAAAGGAGTGTCCTGAGTGTGCACTGGCAGAAATTAGAAGGCCATAAGCTACAAAGTGTCTAGGGGTCAAACTTTATTTAATTGTGAATCTAGGGATATAAGATACAGCTATAAGCTGAAATATAAATAGTAAACAATTATTTAAGATACTTTATTATATCTTAAAGATACAATTCTTGAAATACCAGTTAACCTTGTAATTTCTAGTAGATTTTCCAGTAGTTTAATTCATGAATTATGAATCAAATTCCATATAAAATCAGCACCTTTTTAGCTCTCCTAATTAGCTAAATTTTCCCTCAGTGAGTGCACGAATTGATGGCCTGAACTGATGGGCTCTTCTGGCCTGGAATTCGCCTTCTGTGCTTCGAAAACCCCAGCAGCAGCAGCAGCAGCCGCCAGTGGGAATGTGAATGGGTTACTGGCCATAATTACACTGCACTACACATGCTCAACTCCTGGGAAGGTCAACACTTGCTCTTGAATCGAGGCCCCGGGCACAGGGTTTCTGGTTTCTGGTTGCTCTTTTCTGGTTTAAAGGGAAATAACCAAACAGCTGGGGAAATTCACGTTTAAACCAATTCCATGTGTATATATTTTGAGAAACAATTGATGACGAGGCTTCTCAATTGGCCTTGCCATATTTTCGTCTATTTTGACGAAAAATTTCGGCTCATTTCAGTGACGTCATTGGGCGTTAATAATTTCGTGAAATTTCACCAGCATGGTTATGACATCACCTGACTAACTCAATGAGTTTGAGTCAGTTTTCCTGTCACAAAACACCTCTCAATGATTTGGCATATACCACACACAGTATATATTCTGGGAAGACCGACAAATAATGAGAGTCAACAATTAAATGTAGTTTACGGTGACTGTCAATTTTTTAAATTGAATTAAATGCTTAGGATTCCATAGAAGCTGCTCATCGGCGGCATTACTTGCTGTCACTTGTTTACAAACATAATTGAACTTGAACTCGAGATGTGCAGTGTAAATAAACCAGAGAACGACGTCGACAGACGGCGGAATGCATTTTGCAGGTGCAGATTGGCAAATAATTTCTCACAGGGGGGAACGCGGCAGCAGGCAGAGGCGTCATCCCGGCATTTATGGCATGTAGTAAAAATGCCTATCGGCTAGACACAAAATTGTTTAAGCTAAAGACCGATTTCGGCCATAGATACAATCGATCGGCGGATCTTCAATTGATTTTTTATGAGGCGACTTGCTGATTTATGGTTGTTATTGAGGCGAATACATTCGAACTCACCTCGGGCTGTAAGTAATTCCTCGAATTACGCCGTTTGTGCTTGCTTTCAATTTAATCGGAAGCAGAAGCAGAAACAGTCGCAGTGTTAATGAGATGCAATTCGCGCGGGGAAGGTCGGCGCACGAGTCCATTTCAGCGGCGGTTCCAAAAAACGCAGCCCCCACAAAACGCGTTAATTTGTTCAGATACAAATATATATGTGTAGTATATAAATATTGCCAAGTCTGACTTTGGTTGCCAATTGCCTCATCGGATGCCCAAAATGAAAGCGAAAACGAGAACGACGCCGACACTGAAACCGAAACTGAAACCGAAACTCATGACTTTAGAACGATCTGCAGGGATCTTGTTCGTGTTCGTTTTTTGCCAATTAACGAGAGTGTGGCTATTTATTTAACTTGAACATTAGTATGCACAGCTACAGCATAGATGTGTATCCGTATCTGTATCTATATCCACACGTAACATTCTAGCTCGAGTCAGCTAATTATGGCTACGTGGCGCGAGTCCCGCTGAGCTGATTTGATCTCCGAACTAAACTTGTTATTGATAAACCTCAGACAATTATAAGGCATTGATCGGGGGACAGAGTAAATTAACGTGTTTTTAATTGAATGCCAGGAAAGTTCATTGAAAAGTCAGGCCCAGTCATCAGTTCCCGGTTCCTGTCTGCCAAGTGGAGAGAACTTTTCGCACAAATCACTGTCTGGATCAGTCAACAGAGCAATTACCAATTAATCGCTCAACTTATGACCAGAGAATTATGGGTTTCACAATCACTAAGGAACAAAATAATAAAGCAAAGTCATGGTCATGTTGCTATTTGGTTTTAGATTTATTACTCAAACATAAAGTGTTTTAATTTAGAAAAGTAAATAAAATCAAGACAATGAAGATAACCTTAGTAATAATTAAATGAAGCTCCATGGAATAACATTTTTAATAATTGAGTATGCCTTCTTTTACTTTATTTCTTTCAATTAGCTTACACATTAACTTTTAATTGGGGCACTAATAGTTTTATTTTCTAAATTACCAGGGAACCCAAGGAAATCAAGAATAATTAGCTAGGCCTGGCTCTATATTAATTATTTACTATTAAAATTAAGTGTCTTTCCAAAGACCTTATTATACATTATGCTTTATGTTAGCCAAGTTTCGGTTCAGAGAAAAATTCATTCACTTTTCTTCTGTGGCTTTTCCCATTGCGATCTCCTCGGCCTTCGGTCGCACCTATGGCCACTGACAGAAACACTTATCCGAACTGGCGTTTGGCACTAATCAGAATCAACACTCGTTGACACCCAGGTCCATCATCAATTTCTCATGTGTGTGTGTGTGCTGAGACTTAAGATTTAAGTTTGTGCGACGGGGCGTGGGTGTCAAATGTTTGCACAGATTGCAAGAGGAAGCCCGAAAATAAAAAGAAAATAAATTGGGAATGGGAATGAGAATGGGAATGTATTTTTAAGGCAGCCTTTCTCTTTCGTCGGTTTCTGTTTATTTTGAGAATTCCCTGCAACTGTTTCGAACCTGAGACTGAGAGGGAGAGTATAAGTATAATGTATTCGAATGTCGAGATTCTTTGCGCCCTGATTCCCCGTCAGCGAGCACATTTTCTGGCCGCCTGCCCAGAGGCAGAACATCAGAAAAGATCAGCCGACAGCTGATAGTCGCTGATTTCGTAGGTCAAGTTCAAGTGTAAGATGTGCGTACGGCCTTATTCCTGCACGGGATTATCAGCGAAACGGGGACTACGCGGCGTATACGCAACACTGGGCCAGAGGGCCAGCCTTATGTATGTGGAGCTGGTACATTGACTCCGCTTTTTGTGCCTCGCTTTCTGGTCTGGCCAACACAACACACGTTTTGCATAATTCACATAATTTCAGCTTACGCCCTGCACTTTTTCCCCTCGATTTTGGGGCTCATATTTTGGTTATGCAGGGCCCCGGTGATTGGTTTTCTCTCGCTTCGTGGAAATCAATTAAACACTGGCTCGGGCTCCGTTAAAATTCGAAAAGACGAAAGAGAACGGCTGCGAACCTGAATATGGGAAAGAGTTTTTCAGGTTACGCCAGAATTTAGGCTCATTTGCACTTGATTGAACAGTTGAATTGCAAAATGCTTAAATGGCTTTTTATTGATAATGTTGACGGCGGACTCCGCGGGCAATGTGGGTCATTATGCATGGAACTGCACCGCACATACGCGAATCTATATATAAGTATAAGTATATATATCAGTCGATCTGTCACCCGCCCGTCGGAGTCAGTCGGAAATTAGAATATGCTAATTTGTCTTTCCATTGCCGCCGACGACGACTCGCTGACTCTTGAATGGGCATTGTGAGCACTGTGAATGGAGCTGCGAGATCTGTGAGCTGAGCACTCTGTGCTGGCCAAATCCAATGGCCTGACTGACTCACAAGCCTTGGCTTAGACGTCATCTCTGTCTGTTGGCGGTTTTGCCGCTTTTTTTCCCTGGCTTAATGCGGTCAACACATTAACGTTTGCGGCAGCTTCAGACCCGCTCCACTCGGCGTTGTCTTGGCCCGGCAAAATGCCCAAATCACCTGATGTTTTAATTGCCTGGCGTCATCAGTTTTTTTCTCCGTTTCTTCTGTATTTTGCAGAGAAAGAGAAATGAATATGGAAATGAAAAGAAATGTGGCGAATTTGTAGAAGGTTCAATAGAAAAGTGGTCTGTATAAGCATAAGCGTATGCTAAACGAGGCCACTCCAAATCCACATCTAGCTGCAGTTTGCTCGAAAATAGAGCTTATTTTAATACATAAATTTATATGGCCAAACAAAAGCCCAAACAAACACTTTCATTTCATCATTGTGTGGCTGCGGCGCGAGCGCAGGCTAATTGAAATGTATAAAAAAGATTTGCACAAATCTAAAAATACCCATATATAACAATTTATTTCGCTGGCGATCGCAGCATGACGTGATTTAATTTTTTCACATTTTTCGTGGCGTTGTGCGATCTTTTATTGTATTTATTTTTTTGTTCGAGTGCGAAAGAACGAGTTGAGGAGGAACAGAGGGAGATCTTTTTATTCCAGTTGAACTCTTAAGATTTTACCCGTCTCCGTCTCTGTCAAGGTTGAACATTTGTCATCGTTTAAGATTTCGCCGCTGTCTGGCGCTGATTTCTTCCAATTTGCAAAACTTAGAATACTAAGTTGGTCTCGTTTTTGCTTCTGCTTGCCATTAAGTGGGCATTTGGTGGATGTTTTAGGGCCCCCGCTCCCAGTTCCGCCCCTCTCTAATTCCCACTTCCTGTCGCCACAACATCAAAAGGCTCTTGTGTGTGTAGTCTATGCCCGTCTGAAAGTAATTAACCAAGTCCCGTGATCGAATTATGATATCAGCCCCAGATTGCAGATCTCAGAGAGCAGAGCAGTGCAGTGCAGAGATTTTAGCAAAAGGCAATTAACCGCATTGATTGCATTTTGGCCGCAACAGGTGGCAGCTGCAAATTACGAATTCAGCAATTGACAGATTTTGATAAATGTCCAGGTGAAAGTTCCGTTTATGCCGAAGCATCCCCGTCGCACTCGCAATCGCGGCAATTTGTCAACACCAAAGCCAAAAGAAGACATGGCCGGTTGCCTGTTTAGCCAAAAGAAGTGACACAATTGCTGGTAACCACTTTTCTCATGTGTCGTCGCCGAGCTGTGCCTCGCATGAACATAATGACACTGACCTTGGGCTCTGGCTCCCCCTTCGGAATCTGCAACTCTGCGGAGATTTATTTTTTTGCCTGGTCGTGTGACGCCTCATTTCCAGTTGGCATTTTCTGCGCCCGATCTCGATCCCGGTCCCTCGACCCATTCCAATCCCTCAATTACTTGCCCAGCAGCAGCAGCAGCAGCAGCTGCAGATCTGCATGTTTCAGGGTTGTGACCATTTCCAATTTGCAGCCTCATTGCTTCGAAAATAGGGCGGAAAAGGGGCAAAGAAAAGGGGAATCCCCGTTGGGAGACACGTGCAGCAAAGGGGGAAACTAGGAGGTGGAATCTTAGCATCAACCCTTGCGAGATCAGTGGCAATTTTAGTTTGCTACTTGCATGCAAATATAGTCCGCAACTGTTGAATAATTCAGATCCGCGTTACAAATTGCAAATTTAGCTGGCTGAGCCACTCACTCAGACTACTCGGCATCTTTTCTAGATCTCGTCTATCGCATGATTAGGATTGGGCATCGCCATTGTGCCGCACAGAGAGAGAAATGTATTATTATTTATTGAGTAAATGTATGTTTAATTTATTATTTATATAACAAAATCTATTACTTAATCTCTGGAAAGTATATTTTCTTCAATAAAATAGCAAAAAAGTGTTACGTTTGTTGGGATTTATAGTTTTAGCAGGCTTTGACTGGAGAAATATCATTCAATTAAGCTTTGAATAGTAATCAGCGACTTCAAGTTGACTGCCTTAAAATATAATTAAGATCTATATATAATATAACAGGGAAGTTAATTAAATATTTACATAAATTAATCTGAATCTAATTCTTCGTGTTTGCGAGAGAAATATGTACTTCTTATAATATATAACCTAAATTAATTAACTTTCAGTGTTTGTGCAAATTAATAATATAAAATCTGGTTTTGATTTCGATTTCTTTCTTCTTGACGCATTCTTTTTTATTAGTTTTTTCTTAATAATACTTAAAAAATTTGTATGGAGAATACTTATAAAATTGTTTATATAAATAACTTAACTTTTTAAGAATTTGAGATAAATACTTATAACATATTTACGATAAACTTAAAAACTCTTCAAGAAAAATACTTATAAAATTTTAAAGAAAAATACTTATAAAATGTTTAAGAAAAATTAATTATAAATAACGTATTTCCTTGGAGATTTTCGGTTTCCCAGAATCAGGCTTCCGATTATAACGAACATATATCTTTACCCCGAATACATTAAGATTTGGCTCCGTGCACGTCAGCCGTTCAGTTTTTGCGGTCAGAGGCTGAGGGCGTCTGCTTATCAGTGGTGGAGGGGCTTGTTGCTGTGGGCCGGAGGGGGGTGGGTTCCAAGCGAGCGCCAGTTGCACTTAAATTGCATCCACGAGACAGCCGTCAATCAGTTTGCGTAGCGTGGCTCGTGGAAGGCGGGCAATGGACGTTCGCAAGCCGAAGATTCGGATTAAAAGCGGGCCGCTGGCAATCTGCTCTGATTAAGCGAGTGCAAGTGCCCAAGGCCCTCGCTCCTCGGCTCCTCAGCTCCTCAGATTCTCCGCCTTCGATTCTACCCAATTCTGCCAGAAGACTGACTCACTCTGCGGTGGCTTTTCAAAGGGATTGGCGGTGCTGGTGGGTCAGGTGCCTGCCTCGACTACTGATGTCACGGAACGAAGGGGTGAAATATTAATTACCCTTCGCAAAGATAGCGTCAAATACAGAGGTGATAGCTGAATCTAACACCGATAACAACTGTCGATAAGACTGGGAGAAAGAGAAAGATAGAGAGAGCTCTGGAAGATGGTAGAAAAGTAGCGGGGATGACGCAACCAATGACGATGACAAGTTGCCAGGCGGAGAGATACCATAACTGCCAAAGCTCTGTTAGTTTCCGCTCAAAGGTGTTGCCGTTAGGATCGACCATCTATAGCTTCGGCGATACACGAAAGAATCAAGTAAAATACTTCCATAATACCGTGCTGTTGAGAGCATAGTAATTGCCTCATTTTAGACTTCAAAGTACACTTATCTTCTGCCAGTTTTGCCACTTCGAGAGCTTTGGCTAGCTTGTGATTCATTTATAATGGTTGTCGTTAAGTTTTTTAAGTTAAAACCAAAGTTCAATTCTGCGAACTTATTAGTAATTCCCATATACTTCTTAATTTATTTCTAATTGAACTATTTCTTTTGAAATATCAATGTTGATTTTGAATTTCTTGCCTTCATTTCAGTTAAGACACCCAGCGAGGAAGCAAGTAGGATCCACTGCCATCACAACACACTCACACAGCACAAGCCAACGCCACAGCCATGGATCACTCCCACATAACCGCCTGGCTGGCCCTGCTCCTCTGCGTGGCCGTGGCCGCCACTCCCACTCCTGTCCTGGACTGTCCGGCGGACTGCAGCTGCACCCTGGCTCAGCATACACACAAGCCGCTGTACCACCTGAAGTGCAACAGCACTGCCGGCCTGCGGCTGGCCGAGAAGCCCTTCCAGACCTCAGTGCCCGTGCATTCGCTTGATCTATCCCACTTGGGCCTCACCCGGCTGGGCCATGTGCTGGACAAGCTGCCCGAACTGACCTCCGTGGATCTGTCCCACAACGAGCTGTCGGAACTGGGGCACCTGAGCAAGGGTCTCAAGCGACTGAACCTGAAGCATAATCTGCTGACCTCCGAGAAGCTGAAGAAGCTGCCCCAGCACCTGCAGGTGCTGAATCTGCAGCACAACCAGATCGGCCAGCTGCCCTTGGAGCTCACCCACATGCACCAGTTGCAACAGCTGGAGCTCAGCCACAACGCCATCAACTGCTCCTGCCAGACGCTGGAGGTTCGCAACTGGCTGGTGGAACGCATTGTCTACATGGAACACCCGGTGGTGTGCTCCTACCCGTTGGAGTACAAGGGCCGTTCCTGGCTGCAGCTGAAGCAGGCGGAGATCTGCCAGAAGGAGAAGCAGCATTGGTCCGATCTCGATTTGGAGGAGAACGAATTGATGATGGGCGATCAGCCGGCTGCTGCGTCCGGAGAGCACGAGAATGAGGACGAGCTGGGCAAGGACTTCCTGCCGCTCAGCGGCCAGGGCAAAACTGTCACCTCCAAGAAGGCGCGTTCCCCGCAGGAGCCCCTGCCCGGCGACCAAGTTGAGGGCTCTGGAGACCTCAGTGAGACCAACATGGAACTGTCTCTGCCAGTCGAACCAGAGGCTGCCGCCTCTGAGGTTTCTGAGGCCACCACAACCAAGCCGGAGAGCATTCAGGACATAGTGGAGGATGAGGAAGACGACGCTGAGGCCTCTGGCAGCGGTGGCGGTTTGCTGATCATCCCCGATCCCTCCAAGGTTAGGATAGCTTCAGAAGAGGACCTGGAAGAGGACAAGGAGGCGGAGAGTCCCACGCCCCAGGAGAACGATGGCAAACCACTGGAGAACCCCGGCAACGGCATCTTCACAAGCCACATGGGCATCTTCGAGGGCCAGGAGAAGGAGGACAAACCCGTCGAGGAAGAGCCCATTGTGCCGATTGTTCAGACCAAGCTGGATGTCACCGATGTCAAGTCCGAGGTGGTCACCGACGGCCCGCTGGACAGCAGTAAGGAGTCCGAGGACGTCCAAACCGCCAGCGTGGGCAAGCGCACGGACGACAGCAGTGCCATCTACTACCTGCTGGCCGTGATCGGCCTGATTGTGGTCGGACTGGTGCTCTTCGTGGCCATCAAGCGCTGCAAGTACGACAGCAACGCCGCCGCCCGCGATGCCGAGGCGCAGCGCCAGACGGAGCTCCTGGACATGGACAAGAAGCAGCTGGGCAAGCCGCTGCAAAAGAACGGCCATGGCAATGGCCAGGAGCACTCTCCGCTGATTGGGGAGAAGACCAAGCTGGACGAGGCCCAGATCGTAAAGAAGCCCTACGAGAATGGCGACGCCAAGGACGGAGCCAACCAGCAGCCGCTGCTCAATGGCAACGGATCGGCCAATGGCGGTGCCAAGGATGGCTCCGCTCCCGGAGAACCCGCTCCCCACGAGTACTACCCCATCAGCCCCCGCTACCCCACACCCCAGTCGCCGCGTGCCTCCAAGTACGCCCAGCATCAGCAGCCCGCTGCCGAGCAAAACAACAACAATGAGCCGGACGCCGCCTACCTGCCCTCGTCCCCGAAATCCGGCCGCTACTCGCCCGTCTACTCACCAGAGACGGGACGCGTCAAGATCAAGCTGACGGAGACCCCCAAGCCCAAGACCCCCATGCTGGTGACGCGCAGCAAGTCCAATGCCGGCGACATCATCACCACGCCCGTGCCCACACACCTGTCGGTGCCCGTCAATGGCCACTGATCTGGGCCCAGCCATCAGCTCTCGACACAGCCCGACTCACGACTCCACGACTCGCCCCCGAAAGAGTGGCCTGTTCCTGCCAGAGCTTGAATCGCACTCCTGCGCCATGGTGCCTTCATCATCGTCCGAGCTCTGAACCAGGCACACTCAGGGGTGTATTCATCACCAGCAACACACATAGCCAACAACAACAGCCATGGATGCAGTGCAGCATCCGGCATCCAGCATCCAGCGACGATAACAGCAAACTATTCGATTTAAGCACCCCGCTCCCCTCTTAAGTGTAGCCGAGAAGTAGTGTCTAGACATAAGTAAATTAATTACGCCTAAGCATAAATCTAGTGTAATACCAAAGCTAAAATATATATATGCCTGATGCAAACAGACGACGTCGAGGGAATGCTGAAAAACTGAAAAATACCGAGTAACTACTACCGAGGAGCTGAGAGACGAAGGAAACTCTTTTGGAAAATAATAATAATAGTAATATATGCTTTCAGCCTGCTTCTTTTGCATGTGATGTGTACACACCATACTTATTGTATATGTACTTTTATATCCTACCAGCATACTGTAAACTACTTAAGCTCCCTTCTCTTGTGAAATTACAATGTGTTAAATCATTAAATGAGCGACTTTTCAAATATAAATAAATCGTTGGTTTTTTATGTTGGGAAAATCAGCTGAAAATATAAATGAAATCAAGGATTTTCATCAAGATTAAGAGGGGTTTCAGGGATTCTATAACCATCTCTGATGGCAAGTTTCATTTCTCCATTTCTTCTAATAGAGCGTTATTCTTATCGTTTGTTGAAATACAAATTCAAATTTGGCGGTTAAATAAATGTTTTATATCGGCAAAGCTTCCTAGCCAATATTCCAACCAGAGCTTTCACTCAAGAGAGTTCGAATTTGACTTTAGAAATCTCAATTTTTCGAAATTGCCCAACAACCACGCAGAGCTTTCACTCAAGAGAAAAAACTCCACTCAACACTTGTGGCCGAATAAGTGGATACAGTGTTATGTATTTTTGTTTCTTGGTGCTTTTAAATAGTCTTATTATGGAAATGATAACTAACAGGGAAATGGTTCGTATGCGGTGCCTAGAACAGAGTCTCGCGCATGGGTCTGTGCACCCGGGCGTGCTGCTCCGTGTCACTGGAGGAGGAGGAGCCATCACCGGCATTGGCCGCCGTAAAGCTGCCGCTCACTCGGCGGCTGGACGAGTTCTTTCGCTTCCGGCGCTTGGCTCGCTCCAGGTCGTGCTCCGATTCGGATGGGGACGCACTAGAGCGGTTCTCATCCGGCAGGGATCTTAGCTCTGGGGCGTGCAGCTCCTGGAAGTCACTGCCGATGGTGGACGAGGAGGCCTGCTTCTTGGCCGCACTGAAGTAGTCCTCGACGGCTGGATCCAGCTCTAGAACCGGGCTCTGCTTCAGCGTATAGACCTGGGCGCTGACCTTCATGGAGGGCGGCGGTGGAAGGGATTTCTTTGGTTTCCTCTTGGCAAACGGACTGCCCGGCTTGCTGGCCTCGACGTCATCGTACTCGGGATCCGTGAGGAACTCTACGCTCGCGGCCGCCATATTGACGCGCTTGAAGGGCGGAATTTCGGCTATCTTGGGCTTTCGCTTCGTGTAGGGACTGTTCTCGTAGCTCTGGAAGTTGCCTATCTGTTCGGCGCTCTGCAGGTTCTGGGTCTTGAGGTGGGCGGCCGGGAAGCGCGAGTCCTCGATGCTAAAGCGCCGGCTGCCAGACTGGCTGTATTCCATGTGGCCTGTGCGGCGGTAGGGTCCGTACTGCGCTGTGCGCTCCTTGTCCCGGTTGGACAGCATCTCCACGCTGCGGAACCTCTGGCGGCTGTCCAGCTGCAGGCTAGAGTCCTCCGCCTCCGACTGGGAGCCCTCGCCCTCGGCATGGGTCTGAGAGCGTCGAAGCTTGCGGGAGTTTCGGGCACGCTCCGGTCCCGATAGGTCCATCATTGACTTGACCGGCCTGACCAGCTTGGGCATGCGAAGGGCGTCCTCGTACGAGGGAAGCAGGCTGATCTCCTGCTGTTGCTGATGGATGCTAGGAGTGGCATCTTCCAGGAGGATGCGGTCGTTGAGATCTCGTCTGGTGGGGAGAGGGAACAATTTATTTAAAAGAAATTGTTAAATAATTAAAAAGAATAAAACCCACATGCGTCTTAGCTCATCATCGTTCTCAGCATACTCCCGGTGATTGTCCCTGACCTTGCGCTTCTTCAGGAACTTTTGCAAGCAGGCATAGGCCAAGATGAGGCCGCCCAGCAGGAGCAGGGTGATCATGATAATGGACCAGGCCTTCTCGCCACCACTGCTACTCCTGGCATTCTGGATCCACACATCCGCGCAGGCAAACTCCCAGAGTTTGTTGTAGAAAATAGCAGGAGCGGCACAACGCAGGTGATTCTTGTCTTTGATCTAAGAAAACCAAGGATTTGTAGTAAAAACATATAGTAATACAAAGAAAACCCACCTTGGCTGGCTTGGCTGTTAAAAAGTCATAGAACTCCACAAAGAGCGGGTTGTGACAGTCGCAGATCCAGGGATTATCGCCCAGCCAGAGCTGATCCAGGAACTTGTTGCTGCCAAAGTAATAGGGCGGAATGGGGCTCGTCAGGCGGTTGCCATTCAAGTGGAGATCCGCCAGCTCAGGGAACTCCCTGAAGGTGTTGTTCCGCACAGTGCTCAGTCTGCAAAGAGCAGCCAATTATCATTTTTACCTCTCTCCAAGTATAGAGCACCCACCTGCAGTTGGCCAGGTTCAGTTCCTGAAGCGTCTCCGATCGCATAAAGGTGGGAAAGTCGCTGATCAGATTGTTGGACAAGTCCAGCTTCTGTATAACCGAGAGACTCGACAGGGCAGAGCTGTCGATGAAGGTTATTTCGCACCAGCTCATGTTGATGGTGCGCACCGAGTTGGACACGATCCTGGTCAGTTTCTGCAGAACGTTCCGGCTGAGATTGAGCTCCACTAGCACATCATTGTTGCGGATAAAGTTCCTGTCTAGTCGGGCTATTTCGTTGAAGGCCAGGTTCAGCTGCTTCAGTCTCTTTAGGTTGGCGAAGGCATCTTGGCCCAGCAGGCGGAGCACGTTCTGAGAGAGATCTAGCACCTCTAGCATGGTGTTGTTGGCGAAGGTAGTGGCATCGATGGATCTCAGAAGATTGCCCCTCAAACGTAGCTCCGTGAGCTGGGGCAATCCGCTGAGATCGATGCTGTCCAAGTTGCAGTAGGACACATCCAGCTTGCGCAGCTCAAAGGTCAAAACGGGATCCTCTTCGAGCCCGCCAAACTCTAGCTGTGTGTTCCGGGATAGGTTGAGGGCCTCCAGATGCTGCAGAGAGTCCAGGAAGAAGCCAGACAAGTGCTGAATGCTGCAATTGCTCAGGTCTAGGCTGCGCAGACTTCTCGAGGGCAAGGCCGCCATCTGAGTCAGCTGGTTGTTGGCCAGATTGAGGCGTTCTAGGTTCGGTAGCTGGTTCATCAGCTGGTCGCCGCCCAAAGCGGAAATGTCGCAGGAGGAGAGCTCCAGCTCGGTCAAAGACTGACTGGTCAGCAGCTCGAAGCTCTCGCCGCTGCCAAAGCTGCCCAAATGGTTACCGTCGAGGCCCAAGCGCTTCAGGCTCGGTGCATACTTAAAGGCTTCGTTAGGGCTGAGGGCCTCCCAGGACCCTATTGAGTTGTTGGCCAGCAGCAGGGTCCTCAGCGAGGTGAACCCAATCAGGGATTTACCATCCAGAGCCGAGATCTGGTTGTTGGAGAGATCCAGGTAGATCAGAGAGTCAATGTCTGCATATTGCGTGGGAAACTGGCCAAACTGATTGCCAGACAGATCCAGATGCTCCACGGGTATGCCGTCAAAGTTGGGAAAGGTGTGGAGGCTCCTCCGCGAGCAGTCGGCATACAAACTGTCCACCACCCAGGCACAGCGACAGGGCCAAGGACAATTGACGGCCCAGCTGGAGGAGGCCGTGGCCAGGAGTAGCAGGCAAACCAGCTCCAGGCCCATCCGCATTGCTGTAAGACAGACGGAGGAAGGTGATTGAATTTAGGCCTATTGCGCAGGCAATTCTTCCATTAGCTTTCAGCCTTTTCTGTTTTTGGCCTCTGCTTAAACGCAGTTCATAAACTGCGACGATTCCACGGCACTAGTGACGTCACTATCAGCTTGGGCTTTCACAATGTATGACTGAGTATTCACCTGCTGGATTTTAATCACTCGTATTTCCCCTTTCGAACTGCACTGCACTTATCTTATCTGTTTCTCCGGAGCGGAGGCACAAAACTGGAGCAGCCGAAAACAAACGGAAAACACAACGAGTCGAGGCGTAAATAACGCGGATTTGAGCCAAGGACTCCTATTCTAGAACTGCACTGCCTCTCCGCTGCAGCCACGCCCTCAGCATTGTACGCTCTAAAGGTCAAATTTCTGGAATTCCTTTGGAATTTTAAGTTTACTGCCAAGTTTTGTGGGCTATTTGGTAGGCTCTCCGCGCAACTGCTTGTCTAATACTGGGCGACCGAGGAAAATTACTCACCTGCTGGCCGCGGGCAGAGGCTTCCACGGCGACTGATAAGATAAGCCGCTGATAAGCCCGCCGTTAGCATGGGGTAAGTGCGAGTGTGGCAAGGTGAGCAAAAATGTATTTTTCCAGGCCCAGTGTGTGGGTTAGAGTAGAGGAAAATACCAGAAAACAAGCAATTCATTTTGAAAACTATGAAAAGCTTATTTGTAAACAACTTTTCCCAAACTTCATCCACCAATATAATATTCTTCTCTTTAATTCCCTAAATACCCTCTCAGCATATGTCAACAAATCAACCGTGAATACAAGGATATGGCCACAAATGGAGTCGTTTAAGGCTGAATAAACTTGTCACAAGATGAAGTGCAACTGCAGCACAACTGTTGGGAGCTGGAAATCCGGGACACGGGCCAGACGTGGCTTCCTCGTCTCCGACTGGCGCTGATAGGGCATTAAAATTTCCCGTTCCGCCGTAGGATTCGGCCGGAGTTCGGAGTGCAGCTGCGACCTGCAGACACCCGTAACCGGATTTATTGTAATGAAGCGTGAGCAAAACAGAAACGACGCCTCAGACGCAGTGCAAAGTGAAAAATAAGTGTAGGACGAACCCATCCCAGTCCCAGTTTCATTCCTGCTAAGAAAGCAGGAGCAAACAAAAAACAGCAGAACCAGCCACTGACGTGTTGACAGCAACATGTTTGCGGCTTGATTACGACGAAAAGCGTTAAGGCAGCAGGAAACAGCAAAATCTTAAAAAATGGAAAAGAAAATAAAAGGCTGGAAAGGTTGTGTTGAACTTGAAGAATTTTGAACACTCTTGGAAGTAAAAGACAGAATATTGAAACCATTTTAACAGAAATTATAATGAAGAATTAACTCCAACCTTAGCACATGTACTCCTCCAGTTTTCCAGAGTACAAAAGGGAAAACAATTTTAAATGGTTAGCGACAATACAAAATAGAAGTAAGTTCAGCTCAGGGGGCAGGGGTGCGCAGACAAAGACTGCCAGGCAGAATGCAGAGGTCGGCGTAATGCCGCCACTGATAAGCTCGCCAGGATACGCGACCTTCCCCCCGATTTTTCCGAACTTTTCACTATTCAAAGAGAGCGATTGTGGGGCACAAGAATTTGAATTCGGTTGCCACGGATAAGTGCACGGGATAATGAGCAGGGATGCGCAGCTCTGCTGCCTCCCACTCCGCTTTCCTTGCCGCGTCCTTGCCGTTTTAATGAAGCGCAACGGCTTTGTTGCCGAGTCCTGGCTTTTGTCCTGCCCGTGTCCCGCCTGTCCTCCCCCTTTCGGCCATTTGCCGTGGGATAATTAGCGGCCGCTGCGATGCAAAGTCATCGCTGGCGTTGGGAACTCGCGCAGTTGAAATCACAAGTTAATGCCGCACGGTCCAAGGACTGGGTCCTTTGTGTGCTTTTGTTAATGGATTGATTTTGATTTTGAATTTCTCCCGTCTAATCTGGCCTGACTTAGAGCTCTCGCCTGGACTTTGGCCTGGCCTTCGTCTTCGCTCCGTTTTATTGGGGCAATTTCCAGCGATTTTTTAATAAGGAATGAAGTGCTTTTTATTTATTTTCGGAACGCTAAGTCGCCCGCCACCCGGAGTGCAGCCAAAGTTAAAGTCAAGTTGAATGACAGCTGCGGTGTCGAGAGATAAGCACAGCGGCACCCGAGCCGCCGGAAAACCCACCCACCCAACTGTCCATCCATCTGCCAGAGGCAACCAAAGTGGGAACTGATAGCACGAAATGCGAATTCAGGTGAGGCCAGGAAGTCCTGGCAACTGGGAAATGGACATGGACACGGTCTGAGGCTGTAACTGGAGCAGGCTTCGGAATGGACATCCTGCTAGCTTAGCATTTCCTCAGATGTCATAAAGATATCCCGCCATTATGACGCCTCCTAATCGGCCTCATCAGAGCCAACACACACACACACACGCCCGCCCACATAAACGACCTCGAATTCCGGGCTTTGATTATATTTTATGTCTTAAGATTTTTTTTTATTGTCCTGGGGAGGGAGAGAAACAATTTGCTTCTATCTGCAGGACGATACGTCACAAGGAGTAGCGTTTTTGATACGCAAACATAATAGAGGGTATGGGGTTGGGAATGGTGGAGATAAAGCAATGGAGAGCTCGCAATTTGCATACTCGCTCAGTTGGCTGAGAATGCCTTATAGACAATTATATTTATTATTCAGTTATGCCGCTAGAGGGGGTGGGTGCTCTCGAACCAAAGACATTCCCATTTAATGCTTGCCATTCTGGATCTCAAAGAGAAGAACGTTCCCCGGGAAATATCTTGAATAGCAATAAATTTCGATTTTCGTCCACTTAAATGCTTTATGAATTATAAGCTTAAGACGCGCCAACCGAAACCCCTACCCCTACCACTTACCCCTTCTCTCACTGAGTACATACACCTAGCCAGGAAAAAGTTTCTTCGTCCTGTGACAGCAGGCAAAGATTTAGACAAAGACCAACTCCAAGGGAAATGCCAGCTACTGATAGCAATGCCAGCCTCCTCGGGGGGCTGGGCGAGATTTAAGAAGAAGCCGCCTGGAATGCCATCTGCAAGGGGAACCCCGCTCCAAGGACATGCCAGAGGAGGGGGCATAAAAAACCAAGGACCAAGGCGGAGGCAAGCCTTTCGCCAGGCCAGCAAAGAATGCCATAAATCAATTCGTATTAGTTTTATGAAATTTATACCTGCGGCGCACCACCAGCCAGCAGACAGCACGAAGGGATGGGGATGTGATTCGGGGGAAGAGTCCTTCGGCGGTTTAATGAGCAAATCTTTTTTGGCAACGCCACCATCAGGAGAAAGTGCTTGCTTGGCGTCAAGCGTTTCCAATTAAAAGCATAATTCATTCACAGGGCTTAGTCTCAGCCAGAGCCACCGAGTACAGTACATGTAAAAATGTAACGACTTATGAAAAAGAAGACTATGTTTTCTGAAATTATTATAAATATTAAATATATAGTGCGTCTAGATTTTGTTCACCTTTAATAAATGTCCTTGGATTGTAGTAGAAATTTATATAAAAACATTGAATCATTAAGTTCATGAAGTTCTTAATGTAATATACTTTACTCTCCTGTTCTTTTTTTTATAGAAGAATATAATATGAAAACAAGAAAGAAGGCTTTGGCCAGCCAAAGTTTGTATATCCTTGCAGGTAACAATTAAAATATATCATAACTAAGCCAAAAATGCATTAATTTCGATTCGGAAAGCAGTTTTGTGTTAGTTTTTATTAATTTTAAAAAACTGCATACCAAAATTAAAATTTTAAGAAATCAAAATTTTTGGTCATTTTTGCAAGTTTTAATGATGTAACCCCTTATGAAATTTCTCAAAAATGGCCAAAAAATCGATTTCTTCCGGACATGTCTAGAAAGATTCCCCTTTTGATGCTGATTAAGAATATATATACTTTATAGGGTCGGAAACGTCTCCTTCACTGCGTCGCAAACTTCTGACTGAAATTATAATACCCTGCAAGGGTATAAATATAAATGAAATGATTCGGAAATGACTCCTTCACTAAGTTACTACCTTCTTACTAAAATTAGAATACCCTGCAAAGGTATTAACACATAAAAGTCAGTGAAAAACACTTCAAGGAGTGTGGAAAAACTCCAGAAAACCCCTCCGGAAAACCCGTGGAATATTTATTGAAATTTTCCGCACCTTTAGTTGTTGATCCTTGGACGTTGCCCAGCAGCAGAAGCAAGAGGAAGCCTGGGCCTTGGCCTGGAAATGTGAATTATCGCCTGACATTGGGATTATCATTTTTACATTTTCCGCCTGCCCAGTGGGCGTGGAGCATGGGCTGTGGGCCTTGGCTTAGCCTCCCTGGGGGGTAATTCACAGTTGCCATAATTATCATCGTAAATTATGGCCAAGCGAAACTTTTGGATTTTATGAAAATGAATTGAGATTGAGCTCGACGCTCGGGCTTGGCTCTGCGAAAGCTCAACCGGCAAGCAATTGATTTAAATAGTCCTTAACAGCCGAAGGACGGTAAATCAAAGCGCCGACAATCTAACTTGTGCATCTCTTCCTAGAGCAACAATTTTTTGGGGCCATAATCTGGCCAGGCAGAGCCAGAGGAGTGTCATAAATAATAATTAAACAACTCGCGTTGTTAAGTCTTTTTATTACGCGCCCAAGACAAACGACAGTTGACAGCGGGGCTAGCGAGGGGGATTCTCGAAGGATGCAGCCAGCCGCCAGCAGGATAAGGTGCCAAAAAGACAGGACAAGACAAGGGAAGGCTTAGAGTGGTAGCATGTGCGCCGACACACACACACACACTCCCGCCCCCGGAAAAACGGGGGAAGCACAATTTTCCGCGCAAATACATTTCCTTGCAGGTCCGGAAAGCACATGAGCCGGGACACAGGATTCCGCTGGCAACTGGCAGGGGGCTTCACCCAAGTCTGCCCTCGCATCCTGTTTCTCCTAGGCAGGTGCTTGTCCCGCCTCACAGAGGATTTTAAGACGTAATTAAGATAATAAATAATAATCGCCCAATGCTGGAGCATGAGGGTGTTTTCGACCCCATTTCCTGCTGCCCGCTCCCTGAAATTCCCCCTTCTATGGGTCACGTTTTAAGCCTCCTTGTCATATTCTTACGCAATATCCTGATATGCCACTGGTTATATGCTGCTGACCCTAGTTTGGTGGGGGTTTTCTGTGACCCAAAGCAAATCCAAGTCCTTCTTAGTCCGGGCAACACACTTCTGGCCAGGCTAAGGTTGTTATCATTTAATGACCATTACTCATGCATCAAACTAAGGGAAAAGGAAACCTCTTTAGGTAAATTTATAAGACAGCAATTAAGCCCTTAAAACTAATGGAAAGTCTTCTTAGTTCTTAGTGAAAAATAGCCCGAGAACACAATTTTAAAAAGAGATTATAGATTTTATTTAAGTCTACTGAAACCTCAAGATATAATTATATTTTGAAAATATTTTTATTTGCAACTTGTATTTCTTTATCTTAGATTGTAAAAATATATATCTCAATTAGAAATCATAGCCCTAAGCTAGCATTCTTTCTATATATTTATAAAACCCAAAGCCTCTCTATTAATCCATAGTCTCAAATAACATATAAGCTATATAATCAGCTTGATCAATTTATTACCCATCGCAGTCGTGTACATTCTCTTGTTTTCTTTTTCCTCAAGTCCCTCATTAACTAATTTGTCCAAGTGCAACCGGAAAAGGAAGCTGCCGCTCCTTTGGCCAGGCTCTGCCTTACACTCTCAGTCCGGCTGGCTTCCCACCGCGGTTCGTGTAAACTGAATGTCACAAATCAAAGCGGAATTATTATTACTTATGACCATTTAATTGGACTTGCGTTATATTCATTTGACTTTCGTTACGGTTTGTTTGCGCACTCAATTTGGCAAATGAATCGCCACCGCCAAGCCAAAACCACCCCAGGGGGAAGGGGAGTGTTTCGGGGAGAGCCAAAGGAGCAAACCAACCACCAGGCCACTGTCAACTATTTTGGCTCGCACGCTCATTAGTTTTATTGCCCCCGCATATCAGTCAAAGCCGCAAAACTATTTATGTCCCAGCAGCGGAGCTTATTTGTCCTTTTCCGTACCCCACCGCGTGTCCTTTTTGGCACTACTGCCCGTGTCCTTTTTGTCGTGCGCTTTCTAATTGCTAAGAAATTTGTCTTTGATGGTTTCTCTTTTGGAATCTGCTAATGGAGCCAAGATCTCTGTCCGAATTCGATGGATATTTCGATATCTTTTTAGGGCTTGTTGTGAGCCTCACTTAATTATGATTGCATTATTCAGATTTATTCCCCATTTGGCGTCATTAAGGCAATATGAAAAAGTTTTCGAAAGCAAGATTTATGCTGCCACTCGAGCGCGCAGGACCCACCTTTGAGCCAGCACGAAAGTTGGCCAACAGCCGCAAGTGCGGCGTAGTTAACTATGTAAATGTTTTCTTTTCCACTCGCCTCCTGTTTATGTATATTTACACTTAATGCCCCTCGAAAATGGAGGAACTACCGGTCTGCGGCGAGTCGGTGAGCTGGGAGCTGGGAGGGCGTGGCTGTAATTTCGGTTGTGAGCCAACCACAGAGCGGGGCCAAGTGCTAGAAATTTTAATTAATGGATAAAGTTATGCGAAATTCCCGTACATCCCTTTGCCCCCTCTTGGAGCGGGGAATTAAATATTTTGCGTAAATATTTATGTTGTAAAAAGGGAAATTACGGCGGTGAGAATTCTTGCAAGTATTTACCTGGCCATTGAGTTTGTAATTTTGTCTTTAGCCCAGAAATATGCAACTGCTTCGGTCTTTATTAGGAAATCCATAAATAAGCAGCTAGTCCAATATGCTGCGGCCCAAAGATATGCCATAAATTTGTACTTGCTACCAGCCACTCCTTCCCGGAGTTTTAATTTAAAAGTTTGCGATAACAAATGATGCACATCCCCTGGCGAACACACACAGACACACACACATGGTGGTACCTACTCAAAATAAGAAATAATGTGGACCGCTGATTTAGTAACCGCACGGAAACCCACCCCCTGTGCTATCAGCGAGTGACTGTGGGATGTAACAAAGGCGAGCGAAATAAAGAAATGAAAATAAGTAAACTTTGGTGCTAATAAATTGTTTCATATCTGCTGGGAAGATGTGCGGGAGCGAGCGGGAAGGGCGAGGCGCGCAATGGGAGATAACTCATACGCCCCGTGTGCTCATATTGCCATTCGTTCTCGTATATGTACATATGCATATTTATTTCCCCTTTGCTTATCAGTGACTTGCCAAAAAAAAGAAAGAAACTGAAAAATGAATGTGAACAGAAATAAAGCAAAGATCTGGCGGGACACATGAGAAATGGCGAAACACATTACGACTGCATCAGCACATTAGCTCCAGGCGCCAGCGGAAATAGGGATGTCCTGACTCTTAGTAGACTGCAAATGCGTTCTCCTAGGGTAATTTATGAACTCCTAATGATGAGCAGCGAAAGGAGAGGGTTTTTCTTAAAATCTAATATTTATTGTCCATTAAGTTACGACTTTTACTGAGCTAACACCTTTAGCCTTTGTTAATAATCACCTAATAAGTTCCTTAGAAGTTTTCCAAACTTTAAATTTCTCTAAACAAAATTTAAATAAAAAACACAAGCTTCAAAAGATAAGAAAGCCATTTCCATACGGATTTAAACTTAAATTTCTTGGTAAGTCAAAGTCCTTAAAAAATCTCCTCATTGCCAATCTACTTTCTTTATCGTTTTCCCAAAATTTCCCCCCAAGAAAAGCCACCATTTGAATTTGACATTTAAAATTGTATTTATTTAATCATTTAATAATTGCTGGGGAATATATTTCTATGTATATTATATATAAAGATGTGTGGATGTGTTTCGCTGTATGTCTGTTTTCGTGTTGTTTTGTTTCTTTTGTGTATTGATGCTTGCAATAAATTACAATATTATTTGAATTAATTGTATTCTCTATCTGAAGGCTTACGAAACTAATGGAACAATTTCTTTAAAAAACATTTTCATTTCAGTAGTATATTTTAAGTCTGAATCAAAAGGGGGTGTAAGGATAGCGAAGCCGATTGGGTGTATCAGCTTTTTGGGGGTTGTTGGTATTAGATACCAACGAATCATATGTTATACATTCTATATGCGGTATCCGTGTGCAGGGGTCGAGGGGGATATGTGCTAGGCTGGGACTGGGATCGAAATAAGGCGGGACAACTAAACTAAACTAGTACTGGTACTCGTACAACTCAAACTTAGGCGCTAGCTTAATCCGCAGATACGAACGCGCAACTAAAACCGAAACAAATTCACAATGCTCAAAGAAGGCGTACCTAGGATAACATACTCTATATACAGATCGCAGATCGACTCTCGAAAATTGGCTTTCTTTGGTTTGCTTATTCTTAACGGGCCGCCGTCGCCCCTCCTCTATATCGATGGCTAGAACTAGGTAGAAATAGATGCGGGTATACTGGATAGGGCTAGGTCGCAGCTATAGGTTAGTCATACTGCTGCTCATGCAAGATCGTATTACTCGTAAGTGGCTTTATCTATTTGCTCTAATTTTCGCTAGACGCTCCTGGCTTCTGGCAACTGGTAACGCGTAACTGGGTTAGTTCTCGGTCTATAATACTTAGAGTGGACTAAACTAGGGATTACATATTTATCAGCTATCGTATAGGGTATAGTATTTGTCATCATAGCTGCAGCTGTGGTTTTAAGCTGCTTCAATTGGGGTGTGTGTGTGTCTCCTCCTCTTCGTCCAACTATTTACATGAAGAAATGCTGCTAATTTTGATTTCAAACTCCGGATCCCTTTAGTCCCGCTCCTCGTACTTGGGCACAAAGGATCCTAGGCCACCCAGCTGGGCGCACTGATTGCTGTCGTAGAGCGACATCTTGAGGCGCTTGCACTTGGCCCTGCGGTTCTTGAACCAGAACTGCACGTTCTTGCTCTCCAAACGCGGGAACTTTTGCCTGCAAATACCAGAAGCAAAGGAAGTTAAGGATTAATAAAGGATATATATAACAAGGAGGATATTATAAATCAAAGCAGAAGGAATGGATATATAATAAAAGTAGTAAAAAACTTGAACTCACCTATATGGCATCGTGTTCAGATCCTCGGTGTACTTAAGGATCAGGTTGTGCGAGGGATGCGTGTTCATGGCGAACCACTGCTCCAGCTTGGGCACCTCGGTCACCGGGTCAATGAATGTGCGGTTCCGCTTTCGCCGCTCCTCGTTTGAGATGCTGGACAGGTTCAGACCGCCGCCGCCCATGAGGGCGTTGGGCTGGATTCCTACTGCCGCCGCTGCAGCAGCGGCATGATGATGCGGATGTCCGGCGGCCGCCTGGCCAAAGGCCGGGATGTAGTGGCTCATGTACATAAAGGACTGCGAGAACATCGAGTTGGGCACCATGGGAAAGGGCAGCTGGTCCTTGTGCGGCACCACGCCACCGGCCATGTCCGGCGAGGGCGAACGGAACTCATCCAAATGGCTGGCATCGTTCTCGTTGTCCTCTTCGTCCTCATCCATATCCAGGTCATCGTCTTCCTCCTTGGGTGTGGTGCGTTTTGGCGTAGAGCTCACCTCCGGATCGTTGTGCGAGCTGTTATTGTGGTTGTTGTTATTGGTGAGGTTTGAGCCGGTCTCTATCTGGGGATCGCTGTCCTGGTGGCGCTCCTCCGTGCCAGAGTTCTCCTTTTCGTTGTCCTGTAGCTCGGCATCCCGCGATGACTTTTCCTGTCGCTCCTCCTCGTTGAGGCTTCCGTTCATGCCATCGCTGCCAGAGCTTTTGCCCTCCTGCTGCTGCTGCTGTTGATGCTGCTGCTCGGATGCCTCTTCGTCGTCCTCGTCCATCATCGGGGAGCTGCGATGGCGCTCGTGCGTGGTCAGTGAGAGCGGCAGCTGCGGGGTGTTCGGCCTGCTCGGCTCGTCTTCCATGTCATCCGAATGCTGGGACATGGTGTCTATGTCCTCGGACTTGAGGCTGAGCGGACTCTTTAGATAGTCGTGCGACATGGACAGGTTACCCATGCTCATTGGCTGGCTTCCGGCACTGCTGCTGGAGTTCTGTCCCAGCGGTGCGTGTTGGCTCAAATATCCATTCATGGCGGCATGGCCCAGAGCACTCATGGCGCTCCCCAAACTCCCGCCCCGCATCTCAGCCCGCTTCTGTGCTGCCCGGGCATTCTTGAACCAGTAGACCACATTGTTCACATCCAGCGGCTTGCGACCCCGCCGTGACTCCAAGGCATTCAGCTGGACCACGTAGGTTTGAATCTGCTGACGCGAGGGATGCGGATTCTCGGCGAACCACTTCTGCAGCTTGGGCAGCTCCATTTCCGGGTCAAAGCTGGTGCGCATGCGAGTCTTCTGGTTGGGATACTGCGGCCCATGACCACTTCCCCCATGATGATGGTGGTGATGCATAGACGCATGCATCGGGTGCACTAGCATACTGCCGTGATGTCCAGCCCCTGGAGCCGGTCCAGCGCCAGCATGGTGAGCAGCCTCATTGGCTAACAGCAGGCTCTCCCGACTGCCCATCGATCCTAGGGGATTGCCACCAACCGCTGCTCCGCCAGCAGCGGCAGCATGGGCGGCAGCAGCTGCCGCCGCAGCCATGGCCGTGCCCACCGGGAAGTCCATTTCACCGGGAACTGCAACTGGAACCGGCACTGCCGAGGGACCCGTCATAAAGGGCAGCATCTTGGGCGCCATGGCCGCTGCCTGGGGAGAGAGCTGGTTGGACCACCATTGGTCGAACTTGCGACGAAGATCATCGGAGATCTCGCCGCCAGGCAAAGCGTATGTGTTTTGGTGCGAGCTCCGGCAGATCTGTGAGAGCGTGACCTGGAAGGAAAGGAATTATAATGATTTTATTAAGTCTGAATTCGAACTTCTAGTTAAAATATTCAATTTATTGATTGCGCATATAATTCCATATAATATTAGCCCGCCTAGTTACACAAACCCTCATCGATTCGATCATCGAAATTCTTTTCCGTGTGGAAATCAGAGCGAAATGCAAGGGATTAGTGGCCAACCTTGGGCCGGGGCTTGCTTTGCACTGAGCGACTGTCAACAGAGGGTACTAAGACCCCGGGTCCGCCGCTCGCTAAGCGGCTGTCATAAAAATCACAGTCGCCGGCTCGCGGGGAATCGTCGGTATCGGTATCGGTATCGAAGGGGGGTGGCCCAGGGCTTCAAGTGGCGGGATTTACTTAGCCATAAATGTGCGAGTGCTACGGCGGGTTGGCCAAGTCCGAAATTGCCTATTACGATATAGAGAAACCGGGGTCTGGGGAGCACCGGGACTGATACCGCGCGGAGCTGATATTAACAGACAGTGCCTCGAATCGAAGGCGATAAATAGATAGTCCCTGATAGGCAGCGACACATCAGCTTATGGCGATTAAAATTGAATTTACCCAACAGAAATAGAATCGAAATGCGATGAGTTGGCCAGCCCCAAAGGGTGCCAGGTATGGCGTATTAAATGCTCATAGATACTGCTTTGTCTCCCAACTGTGGAAAGATAATGTCTGCTGTTGTTTTGGTGCTGCTTTTTCCACACACTATCAGCTAAGGAGGCGCCCCAAATCACTTAAGCTGCTCAGAGGAGGGTCTGGGGGGGCTACCGCGCTGCCTGGGTGGGTTAGGTGCTGGTACCTAATTGTAAATAAAATGGGTTGACGCTTCTTACGTGGCGGGGTATTATTAAATTGATTTTCCTATCGCCGCACCCCAAAGCTCCTCGGGGCGGGCGGACACTGCCGCCTCGGCGGAGGTGTCAGACAACGAATGTGGAAATTATGGTAAATGCTTATCATGTGATTAGGAGGGACGACAACTGCCGTGCTTTGCTTTGCTTTGCTTTGCTTTGCTAATATTAATCGGTGGGCTCGGAGCCCGGAGCTTCGGGGCCAATAAAATAGCAGTCGCAATATCAATTGAAGGGTATTTCTGGCAGTGATTTCGTGTTGTTCATCGCTGGCAATGATAGCGAATGCCGGGGCGTATGATTTATGGCGCTAATGCACCGATATCGCCTTTTCCTCCCCGCCCACGAAATTGGGTCATGTGAGCCATGCAGTGGGCTAGCTCCTCCTCCCTGAATTTAAACTAAGCCTTCTAAACCGATTGCAATAAGGAAAACAAAAGCCAGGCACACACACAAATGCACGCCCCAGCACACACGCATATCCTGGAGGAGGCAGGACAAGGCAGCGCAAAGCTGATTAAAATGAAAACTATTGCAAAAAAGGATTAGTTAAGTGAACCAAATAAATGAACTCGGCTTAACAAAATTTCTTTGTAGTCGCTATCAAAACATTTTCAATGCGTTATGCGTTTAATATTCCACAAGCAGCAGCCAGGACATGCAAAAGCCGAGCTCCTTGTCTGAGTGTCTTAGTGTCTGTGTGTATGCCTCACATCACGCAAATTAGCGTCGCCACTTCTCATCCAGAGACATTTTTCGGCAAGTTTTCGGCAACTCCAAGTCGGATAAGAGCTCGCAGGACGAAGGACGTGGGGGACATGCTCTGGGTAAACCGCTTATGAATCATTATAGAATTTCGTCGTCTTAGTGCACAATTTTAAGTGAAAGTTCAAAGTGAATCCCTAATTGGCTGCGCCGGGTACGGGTTTGGGGAAAAAGGAAATAGCTGTTGACAGTAGTGGAAACTCACCTCATCCAGCGGACAGCCGGTGGAGCGGAGCACCGCATGCGACTGCAGCACCAGTAGCTTGAGCAGCTTGTCCTTGATCTCGCCAAAGGGCGATGTCTTGGGCCGCAGGATCACGATCCTCAGAGTGATCACCGAAGTCAGCTCGCCCACAATGTCGCTGACCGGCACAGCCGGGTTATCAGAAATCTGCTCTAAAGGAATGGGCTTCCAGTGTTTGATAATTAAAGAGCCTGCAAGGGAGAGAATATTATCCTGATTAGTATATATTTTAAATATTTCTGAGACAGTGTATAAGCAGGGCTGCTTGTGAGCCTTTCGACTTGGCTTGAAGCTACTATAACTAAGACACCCACCTCTGGCTGTGTTGGCCACCTCCTGGGAGTAACCCAGCCTCTGGAGGGCCGTCTGGACGATCTCGCTCCAGGGCGTGGCCGCGGCAATGATCACGTAGCTGTCCGTCTCGATGTTGGGCCGCCGCTTCCAGGGCTGGCGCGTGTCGATGGTCAGGGAGGCGTGCAGGGAGTGCACCGACTCCACCACACAGTGGAGTGGAAGTGATTTGGCTGCAGGCGAGAAGAGGGGGCGGGAAAATAATGGTTAGAAATAATACGCGACTAATATAAGCCCGGTCCGCACTCGAGTGCTGTTTAATAATCGGTTTAGTGCCGTCTAGTTTCAAGTGCAAATCATCGACAAATTAAAATAAGCAATTAAAACATATTCGAAATGGGGCTTTATATGCAGATTGGCTCGCACGCACCAAAGTATTAAAATAAATTATTGCATGTTGCGGCTAACCGCAAATGGTTTTAGCCGCTTAAATAGCCACCCGCCCCGCCCAGAACCCCCTGAAAAAAAAAACTCCCACCTAAAAACTTGAAATTTCACAAAAATTATGAATTGTGCTCTCTTCTTTTTCACGTTGCATGCTAAAACTTACTATATACTAGTACTTCTCCGGTCGACCAATTATCAAAGGCTTAAAATTAAATTGCCAAAATTGGGGAAATAGAAGTTATAGCCGATTTACCATTACAGCGCCGAACAGGGACTGATGCTTCCAAGGGGGCGGGGCCTGGCACCAAATAGGCTTAACGCCCCAGGTCCGACCAACATAATGGTATTATTAATTATTCCAATTATAAAAATTGTAAGCAGCCAGAGATTGGCGAACGATTGGCATTTGCCGTGTCCGGAGCAGGGACGCGGGACTCCGGACAGCTGGAAGCGTTTTAAAGGCGGACAACGAGGGATGTACGGGATGGAAATATCGGACCAACCAAAAGTTCAGCCCAATTACGTGCGATTTTCATGCCATATTTTTGTGCGAGGAGCTGTGGTGTGGTATGTGTGTGGGCCATGCAAATCTTTTAATTGCCATGAAAACCTCATTGGGGGCCATTGGCATTAAAAATAAATACATCAGACCCGGCCCGACCGTATGTGTGTGCTGTGTGTTGTGTGCGTGGGTTGTGCCGAGTTGAAAAGGAATAAAGAATTCAACTATAATGTATTGTTTGTCACCGGCACAGATCAGCGCGCAGTGGGCTCTAGGAACTTTAAGGGGCCCCCGGTAGTTACAGCAGTAATCCCATTAAATTCAATCGATGCCGACTCTCTCAATATTTACACAAAATATGAAAATTTTAACGAAATTAGCCGCCCACACCAGATCTGGCTCAGATTCTGATTCGAAATTCAGGCATTATGCTGGCCGGTCGCTAATGACCGGCGGGCGGCACTCGATGCGCCAACTCGTTGGGCGGCCGTGCAGGCGAATTATAAACTCAATATATCCATTATCCATGGAGCCGTGTTTTGATGGGGCTAAAACAAAGCGGATTCCGTCCACCTGCATGTGCATTTAGTGTGCGGTGGAGTTAGTGTGCAGCCGAAAGCCATAGAGCACCCACTAATTGTTGCACTAGGCAAGCCCCCGACCTTCTGGCAATTCCGCAGCCACTGACGGCCACCGGGAATCAGCAGCTTTAAGTCACCCGGCCAACGATGGCACAGACAGAGCTTATCCTTATTAGCATTATCAGTGTCACTGGCAGCAGGGAAAAAATGGAAAGTAATCGAGACAGCGCCGAAGTCGGGCCAAAACAAATTGAATTAAATGCGCAGGGTTCTCTTCTCCTTCTTCCTGTTTGAGGGCATTAAATCTTGGCGAGGCAGTCAGACGAGTCCTTGCTCCCCCTCTCTATCTCCTAAGCAGGCAAACGATTTGTAAATGAACTCCAGCTTCGGGGGCTAAGGCGATATCTCCGCCCGCGAACCGCCACGCGGCTTAAGATTTATTAACCTGCATCGATGCCAGCAGAAATAATCAAGTTCAGTCATCGCAATCAACTGAAATTGGAAAATTCCCAGCTCAAGGATGCTGCCAGGTCTCGTCCTGGCTGTTTCCCCCGCCAGCTCGCATCTTTCTCAAGTCCCTGGCCCCGGGGACTTATAATCTTTTGAAAAGTTTCCAGAAACATCTCATGTGCATAAAGTGTGAGGAGGGAGGGAAGGGTAGGAAAAGTTTTATCCACTCGACTTTCTTCTAAGAAATTGACCAATTGGCTGACCACAGGCCGAGGCAAACAAATAATTATAAATTGCCTTGGCAAGGACATCAAAACGATTTAATCTCTACATGCACGCACACACACACACAGGCTCTCTCCTCGGGCGGGCAGAGCTATTTAGGTGACTCGGCAAAGGATTACTCAAGTATCCTTCTCAGGACTGCAAATATTTGTAGTCTTTCCTCGACTTTTTCGATGGAATAAATTGTGTGATTGTTTATTTATAGGCAGAATGCTCATAATTTACTTATTAAAATGATTTTGAGTGATTTGGGTATTTAGGAAAATTAAAATACAACAGACCAAAAGTTTTAATAACCAGAACGGACACGTGGCAGTGGCAGTGGGAGTGGGAGAAGGGTTCGTCTTAAGCCAAGTGAACTGTTGGGAAATTTGCTTATCATTGCTTGACCAGTGCAAAAAATCTCAAGGATTTCAGGGGACTTAAGTAGGCTTCTCTGTGTGTGTGTGTGTTGTGTTTTTTGGGGGTGTGTGTGTGTGTAGGAGGGTGCGTGTGTGTGAAAGGATGTATTCAAGGAAGAGTGACCGGAAATTAAGCAATAGTCTTAAGGAAATTGCCACAAGTTTTTCCTTCACTTCACGCCAGAAAACAAATTTCCATGTCCTTCTTAAGGGATCCGCATGCGCTCGAGTGTGTGTGAATTTTTATTTACACTTCAACTTAAGTCCTACTTAATTGCAAACTCTTTTTTACTAGAATTTTTAATGCGTGCATTTTAATTTATAATGCCTCCGACAGCTCTCTCTGCAGCAGCAGTAGCAGCAGCTTCAGCAGCATTCGGAGCGACTTAAGAACTTTCCCCAGGACACGTACGCACACAGCACACCCGCCTGAGCCTTTCGCTTGGCTGCCATCTCACACCTTTGGCTCCCTGGGCATATCCCTGCCTTAGTCCCTACGCTTTCCCTGCACTTCCTGCATCCCCCTAGCCTGCTGCACTCTCAAAAGAAAAACAAACATATTAAGCAGGACAATAAAATGAAAATCGGTTTTGCGTCTTGCCTCGGGTGAGTTTCGGTCCTTTGCCCCAGGACACGGGTAAAATAAGCTAGCTAACAATTGCCTTTACCTTGCAGAATAATGAATACCTTGGAAATGAAAGATTAACTACACAAAAAACCGCTAAGAGAGATTAGGAATCAAAAGGAAAATCAAGGAAGGCTTACCAATTATATTTAGAAATTTAGGTTTTGGCATTAATAAGTTTAATCTTCAATCTCCTTAAAAGCAGATGATAAAAGCAAATGATGGTGAAAGTATTTTACAGACTAGTTAAGGTAAGCCACACTTTATATTCCGATCAGATTATTAAATTAGTTTTTTCAAAAAAACTTTTACCTAAAAATATTATCTATTCTATATAATTCCTACATTTATATTTAGTATTATATTATTTTATTGCCATTTTAACACCATTTGCAGCTCCTTCCTAGCCCTCAAGGATTACAATTGGTCTGCGTTGTAAGTCGAGGGTCTTTTGAGCTGCCTTTTGGTCTGATCTCCAAGAGCCTGCGAATTCTGTTCCGAATCAAAAGTCAATGCTCTTCAGCAGTTCGAGTTCCACTTGTGCACATGCGAATTTTCTGCACTTTGCATTTGAGTTGCCGCCCTCCGGATTTTTTTACCCGGCTTGGTCTCCGCTCTGAGTCAGAGGCGTATTTTGAGATTTGAACTTTTTTTGTGCCGCCGTATTTGTATTCGTGTGTTTTTTTTCGAATAGGGCTTTCGGGGCTGGGAAAACATGTTGAAACTTTTAAGCGGATTATAATTAATGCCGCGAGGCATTTTCTTTCTTTTTACGAGTAACGTGGGCTGCTTGGCGCGTTTAGCGCCCTCTCACCGGCGAACCAATCGAAAGTTGCCCAGTCGGATATGGCCGGAAATCAGGGAATCCTTTGACTCGACTCTCGGCTCGACATTCCTCCAATTGCTGCCCGGGTCGGGGGGGCAGTCGTAAATGTTAGTCAAAAATAATCCTAATGAAATAAGTATGGCCCGTAGCGGTAATTTATTTGAATCCTTTGCCCCGAAACCCCTTCCTCCTGGCCATCTCAGCTGCTAAATTGGCCTCGGCTTTGGCCTCTTGGGTTAGGCTTTGGAATTGTCTCAAGTCTTGTTTTTGTTGCGCAATAAATTCATTTTTTGTCCTTAGACATGTAAAACTATGCATGAGCCCAGGCTGGATGCTGCATGCGGGTGTGTGTGTGTGTATGTGTGTGTCTTGGACTTAATCCTTTTTGTTGTTTGCTTCATATGTTGATTTGGGACCGTCATCAGGTGAGTTTTCTTTTGGCAGCAAAAACGACACCGACCAAACCTCAGACGGAACGGTTCGAAAATCCTTGCAGGACACTCACACACGCACCCGCACTGGCACAGCCGAAGGCAGGACGGCCAGGACTCTAGTTAGTTTCAGGTTGTGAATGGATTTTCTTAAGTGGTTCTAAGCTTTGTCTGTGAAGCAAACCAGAAAACATGCTTATACATGCGGCCAAGTGGCTAAGGAGTTCAAGAGTCCGGCAGGAAGCAGGAGCAGGAAAAGGACTCTAGTGGCATTAGCAGGCTGCTCAAGGAGCTGCAGCACTTCATTAGTTTTGCGAATTTGCGGACTGGGACGGGGACTGGGACTGAAACTGGAACTGGGACCCTGAGACAATGGCCAACTGCGAGGCCAACGATAATTGAATGCACAGGGGGCTGTGGCCTCCACGCGGACAGGGACAAATCCTTACAAAAGGATTATGATGTGTACTTTTCGGCCAAATGACTCTCTCGAGCCAACAACGACCAACGAACGACCAGCGCAAAGTTATGCAATCGAAGTGGCCAATGATAAATTGATGGCAGCCGGACTTAATCCGGCCGAGTCTCCAAGAAGTGAATAATTAAGGCACAAAGAATGCTGCCGGAGAAGCAGAAGCTTCTCATAAGAACACAAGAGGGATTCGCCGGCATCTCAGCGATGCAA